AACATTTCTGTAGTTCCAAAATTATACTACCAGTCAATTCCTGGTAGACTAATCTGGTCCAGAAATGCTGGTTATCAGTCTGATTGATATACTTGCCTGATATCTGTAACAAGTCTGAGATTCACCACACTCAAGGCTATATTACTTCCTGTAATAATCTCTATAGCCGCTTGTACTAGAAATTGGAACAATTTGCTCAACCTTTGAACCTGTCACTAAACTGTCACAAAATGATAATAAACAGTCCACTTATGCTTGCTAAACACTCTAAATGGAACAGACCATTATCATTACGCAATAGGGGTTGTAGGTAACCCTGTAAGTGGGTTGTGAATTCACTACAATGGCACAACCCTAAAACTTAGTTAGATACTGATATTTTCAGGCTGACCATAGAAATTATGTGTATAGAAATTATGTGAATCATAGGAATATGAAAACCTTTCTAAACCCAACAGCTTGAGTGCAACCACCACAATATTTGGACATTCCAGTATTTATAGTTGGTGACAAGCTAAGTCGGATACCAAAACTATAAGGAAGCAGACTTAAAATACTATTGACAGATGAGTGACTGGATCACCAAGGCGAGTATATTAAAATTTTTTTCTTTCCTTCAGAAATATTTTTCATGGAAACATGCAACATGAACTATTACTTTACTGCAAAGAAAATTTATTATTAAATTTATTTGGTGCAAAATTTAGAAAAAAAATGTAAACTAATTTTTAAAAATGTGGTAAATAATGTACCATGACATTTTGGTATAAAATTAAGCGCACTCAATAAGTTAATGCAAGTTTGTATAAATTTTTTTAGCAGAATGGAATTTGGATATTTGACTAGTAAGCACACTAAATACATCCAAGAGAAAATGGTTAGACACAGGTCGCAGAAGTTAAAATATTCTAGAAAGACAGATTTTATTTCACCAGAAATGAAAATGGCAGATCAATATGTAGAAAATAAATTCTAGGTCTGGAGATGGACAGAGAGGTTTAGTTCTTGTGGAGCTAATTTAGTCTCTGGCCCTCATTTATCATCCTTTAATGCATCTTTTGTCACCATCACAAATTTTAAACCCACTCCTATGCCAGTGTGAAAATAAGGCCTTCAGTGCAGTATGTATGTATGTATATATCGTATGTATGTCCCGGTTTAAAATTGGCTGAAAGTTTAGAACATGGTAGCATACATGTACCAGTGCCAAACTTGCATATAAAATAATTGTCATAGCAACAGTACTGAAAATATTCATTTTTGTATTTTTCTACTAAATGCTCAAATTACCTAATATTGTATACAATTTATCGATGTGAGTAGGTTATATAGGTAATATCAGGGGTTTCACAAATGCACATAATAGCAGGCCATCATTCTGTAACAGGCCAAAAAAAAATAAAAAGGTTCTCAGCAGTGCAAAGCGCTGCAGTGAGACCGGCGTAGACGGTCGAGAGGGCAGAGAGTAGACGGCCAATTTGGGCTTATAGCAGGCCATAGGGCCGGCTCTTAACGAAACCCTTGGATATATAACCTGTTGACCACAAAAA